CCTTACTGTTCTCTCTCTCCATCTCTCTCCATCTATCTCTCTGTCTCTGTCTCTCTTTTGCTGGAAAGAATGGAGCAGCCTTGACCACACAATCACTTGCAGAATTAAGTAGCCAAAAATCATGTCGTCTAGACAAACATATTTTATGGGTCCAATTAATTCCTGCCAGTCAAAAATAGGCATGCTTAATAAGGGGATATATTTAGAATATGTCATTATCTGGCTCCCCAGGGGAGAAACCTCAGCTCTGATTTCATGGACTTAATTTCAAACAGAGCTCTGGTAGCTCCCACTTCAGACCTGGCTTTCTTTCTGGACAGTCCCGAAGTTGGTGGGGGAAGGGCAGGGCAGGGCAGGGCAGGGGGAGCATTTGAGTCCAAGAAGCCACTTAAGTCCTGTGTGGCCTGAGCCTCCCAGCCCATCTTCTCTTGGCCATCTGAAGTCAGAAAACAAGGGGTGGCTTCCTCTTTGGGCTCTGTTGTCAGGTGGCAGGAAGCCTCTGGCAGTGCAGTTAAAGGGCTCTGGCGAGTCTCCTTGCTCCCAAATGTCTCACCTGTCCCTGTGCCCCAAATTCCACCATCATCAAGTCTTTATCCCTTGGGATCTGGAAGCCTTCCAGGGCTGTTGTGAGCTGTGGCAACCCTACCCCCACCCCCATGACAGACCAATGTCCCTGGGAAGGGTAACTGTTCTTGAGTCACTGAAAGCTATTAAGGCCTGGGCAGAGAGCTGGGTTGACACCCAAGACCTAGAGGGTTCTGGGTACACCAGAGGCGTGCAGAGTGGGCACTGAAGGAGTTCACTTGAGGTCAGCCCTGATGGTGCTGCCCCACGGTGGGCGGGAGATGAGGCATGGAGGGGCTGTGGAGAGCTCTAAGGAGAGTATCGGAGGGCCTCCAGTCTGAGCGGGAGTTCTCTCTGGCCTCAGGGGAGGTGCATGCACAGCCCGTGCCCCCAGGGTCACAGGCTTTTCCTCCAGGGCACTGCTTATGGGGATTGGCCAGGCCAGGAAGAAATGGCTGCTCATTTTTCCCTAGAAATATGTGTGCACACAAGCAAGGTGTATTCATTTCCTGTGGCTGCTGTGACAAGTTATCGAGCTGGGTGGTTTAAAACAGCACAGGTGTATTCTCTCACAGTTCTAGAGGCTCGAAGCCCAAAGTTAAAGTGGCAGTGTCCGTACTCGCTTTGGAGGCTCCAGAAGAGAACCTCTCCTTGGCTCTTCCAGCTTCTGGAGGCTCCAGGAGCTCCTTGGCTTGTGACAGCACCGTTCCTACCTCTGCCTCCATCTTCACACAGCATCCTCTTCTCCCCTGTCTCTCCTCTGTGTGTCTCTTATAAAGACACTTGTCATTGGATTTAGGGCCAGCTCAGATAGTCCAGGATGACCTCAACTCAAGAGCCTTAATTTACCATCTGCAAAGACCTTTTTTCCAAATAAGGCAGAAGCCCAGCTGGTGGCTGCCCCTGGCCACTCATCAGCCCACCAGCTGCCTGGCACATCCTGAACAAAGACATAGGGGCTCAAGGGTAGCCATGACCACTAGCAACGTGCCCCACCCTGGGTCACCCTATAAGATAAGATGAGGAATGAGGCCCCCTGCAGGGAGGGACAGACGGCCAATACTCCACAGCTCCAAAAACATCATTCCTCTGCCAGAATGACTACCGTTACCACCCTCCCACCATTTGCAAACTCGTATTCACCTATTAAGATGCAGCTCAGGCACCATCCGCTCTCCTGCCAAGGACTCGCCTCCATCCCATTTGTCACAGGGCCCGTGTGGTCTTCATCTCTGTATTTTCAGACCCAGGCCCCATGACTTTATGCTGAAAGGCCAGCATCCCCCACCCCCACCAGGAAACAAGGTCCAAGCCCGAGGGTCTGCATGCGGCGGCTCCTCCAGGATTCCTCCCACTTAGCTCCCCCAGCACTGCCCGCCGGCTTCCACCCTCTGACAGGGAGGAGCACCTCCCCACCGTCTTTGCTTGTCCTTTCTTCCTTCCCAGGCTGGTCGTGGGCGCCCCATTGGAAAGCAATGGCCACCAAAAGACGGGAGACGTGTACAAGTGTCCGGTGATCCACGGGAACTGCACCAAGCTCAACCTGGGTAACTTGAGCCGACGGTTTCGTCACAATGAGGCCCACCCTGGTCTAGTGCAGGGCAGGCTCAGTCACACTGGCTCCTACCAGCTGCCCCGTGAGGTGACCCAGCTGATGTCACTGCCCCCATTTTACAGAGAGAGGAGGCAACTTTCCCATAGTCACCTAGCTTGTCAGAGGTGGGCCAGAATTCAACCCAGGCCTCCACATTTCCAGGCCACTGCCCTCAACTCGGGGTTTCTTTCCCAACAGGGGGAAAGCATTTCCTGTCTTCTTTCTGATCTTGAAATAATAACAACAATAGGCAACATTCATATATCTCAGATAATGTTCACCCTGAAACTACCTAAGCACTTTTAGGTATTTCAACTCATTTAATTCCCACAACACCCATATGAGATTGAACCACTTATTTAACAGATGAGGGAATGACAGTGTGTGGAGTGAGGGGACCTGCCCAGGGTCACCCAGCTACTAAGCGGCAGGGCTGGGATTCCAATCTAGACAGTCCCTTACCCACCCTTACCCATTACGCAACACTGCCTTTCTGAAATGGAGGCTTTGTTCTTCATTGAAGATTTTTCAGGCATATTCTGGAGACTCCCAAGTCCTCGAAAAATCTGTGTGCACATGCATGCATGCATATGCATGCACAGACAAATGCACACACATCCACCAAAGCGCTCACGCCAGTCCACTAAGTCGCTTCCACATTGTCTGAAGCTCAGATGGTGGCTGGGCTGTTGCTCCACTTTCAGAAGGGAGCAAAAGTTCCATTTGGCCTGAAAAGCTGCAATTCCAGGAGCAGCTGGCCTTCCCCAGGGCCAGGACCCGCAGCTTCCCCCTGTTCCAGGAGGGGAGCCCCTGCCCTAGAGCAGCAGGTGGGCTCTCTGGGGAGGTAGGGCATGGGCAGGGCAGCAGGGCCCTCCAGGCGGAGAAGGCAGAGGCTCAGAAGGATTAGACAGATGAAAAAGCTGGATGCATGAGAAAGCCCAAAGAACTCAGATCCCCGGGACAGCCAGCTGCCCATCACATGGTGCTGGAGGCCGCTGCTGCCCACATTGGCATCCACGCCACAGGTGGGAAGTTCAAAACCCGCCACAGCCAGGGCCCAAACTTCAGTGAGGAAACAGTCTAAGGGAGGTGGGAGGCTGGTTGGTGGTTATGGTTCCCAGTCATGACCATCCCAGAGCACAGGCTTCTGAAACAGGCCAAGCTGCATTCCCCTTCCAGCTGTACAATTTCTTTGCTGTGTGTCCAAAGGGAGCTCGCATCCGCTCTCTGAGCCTCAGTTTGCTCATGTGTAAAGTGAGGAGGGTGGACTCAGCAACCCCCAGGATCCATTCCAGGTCTAATCTGTCCCCATCCTTTAATGAGCACCTAGTATGTGCCAAGGCCTGTGCTAGTTATTGGGGATACAGCAGGGAATAGAAGCCAAGGGGCCTTGCCACAAGGGGACAGTAAGCGCGTAGACAAATTAGGAAGCAGGATAGTTTCAGGAAGGGATAAATGCTGTGCAGTAAATCACGGCACTGTGATAAGAGAGGCTGGGGGTGGAAGAGGTGGGGAGGGGGTTCTACCTCAGCAAGGTGGTCAGGGAAGGCCTCTCCGAGCAGGTAACATTTGAGCAAAGGCCTAATGAGGAGAAGGAGTCAGGTGTGGACAGAGCATTCCAGACACAGGGAGCAAGTGCACAGTCCCCGAGGCGGGCACAGGTCTGCCCTGTTGGAGAACATAAAGCAGGGCCATGTGGGTGGGGCAGAGGAGTGAGGGGGGTGGTGGGAGATGTGGACACTGTGCTTGGGGCCCAGGCCACCGAGGAAAGCTCCTGGTCCAGGTGGGGACACAGATGTTGAATCAATCATTACTTTTCTCTGTTGCTCTGGTTTCCAATGTGGTCCCCATTTCCCTCCAGAAGGAAGAGGAGGCATAAAGCCATCAGCCCCTGGAAAACATGCCTGAGCTGGGGCGTAAGCCGGGAGGCAGTGGGTAGCAAAGTGAGTTGGGACAGAGGAAAATCACTCTTTCTTTGAGGAGCAGTTCTCTCCCTCCTACAGAGAAAAAAATGCGCGGTAGGGAGACCATCTGTCAGCTTATCCCACAGTGGAAAATGCAAGGCTGGGAAACCCGAGTCCTGGGTTTTCCTATGGCCTTTCCAGGCACTGGGCCATACCGTGCCAGGAATGCTCTCTCCCCCTCTCCAGAGAAGGTTAAGGGCGTGTCAGCCATTCGCACCTCAGTGTGAGTCTCGCACCGGCAGCTTTCTTCCCAACACCTGGATGAAGTCAGGGTTTTAAATGAGAGGCAGGGGCTGGGGCAGGTGACCTGATTCTGGAAGGCAGGCGCTGTGTGAGGAGTGGCTTGCGCCCAGGAGCCCTCACACAGACCTGCTGAGGAAGGCGTTAGTCTCCCGTTCACAGAGGGGCAGGGCAAAGCAGGACTGGAACGGGAGTCTTTCCACTCCAGTGCAGGGGTCTTTCCTACCACGCCCCTGTAGTTTCACTAAGGTCTTCAGTGCCAGGGGAGAAGAGGAAGAGAGGGGCAGAGTGGTGTGAGGGGTGGGCCCTTGAACAAAGGAGGGCAGAATTCTCCAGGCCAGCGGGGGGCAGAGGCTACCCAGTCCAAGCTTGGAGCTTCCTTTCCAGTCCCCAGAGCCACCACGACGCCCTCAGATGGGGAAAAACTCAGGACGTAATGTCAGATGGTGTACCTCGTGGAAGCCACCAACCCTCTCGACACCTTGAGAGGGGGTCCTGGGAGGGCATCCACAGTACTTTGTAAGTGATGAGGTGCCTAGAAACCCCAGGGCTGTTGCTAGTATTTTTTCGCTGGCCTGTTTGGACAGACAAAACAGAACAATCCGTCACTCTCAGCGCAGCCAAGAAGGGTGGATTTCAAAAGAAGCCTGACTGAAAACTGAGGGAAACCAGTGGGAAAAACAACAAACACAGCTGCCCCCGCCCGCCAGGCCAGCCTAGAAACAGTCAGCTCTGGCCCTGCCAGTCCCCACCCCCAGCTTCACCGGCAGGCCAGCTCTTCCCACTTCCAGTCACGGACAGAGCGGCATGCAACCCGTCCCCACAAGCAGGGAGGACACCTAGATCCTCCTCACAGCAGTTGGGACTGCCCCGCTCCAGCTCCACACAGTGGCCGACCCCCTCGTCCCTGTCCCTCCCTCGCCCCTCCCGTACTACGGGCGCAGACACACACAGGCACACACATGCACACACACACACACCCCTACACGCGACACACTCTGGGGAATTCAAGCTCACTTCCTTCCGTTCAGTGGCCTGTCGGGATGACCCTGTCAAACCTCAGCTGGTATCGTTCTTGTTATGGTTCTGATCTGCCGCAGAGCCAACCCTCTCCCAACACCCAGCTGGCTGATAACCCTGCTCCCAAATGTCTCTCTTGGCAGCCAATGACAGAATGACATTCTTGGGCAAGGCCTTGTACCCCTAGAAGTCTCTCCTTACATTGGCTATTTGTTTCTTACCTGTAAGAGAAAATCCTCTTAATTATCGTATGTCAATTGATCAGATGAGCAAGTGGAGGGGGCACTGGGAGAGAAGGACAGGGGACTGGAGCGTTTTGTTGGGAGGTTGGCCTGAAGAAAGCTGGGGAGCGGACACTGCACAGAGAAAGGCGGCCTCGGTGGGGTGCCATGGTATGTTTGGGGTCCAGTCAGATGGCTGAAGGAGGAAAAGCTCTGGCCTAGGAAATGGAAGCCTCCACCTTGTGCCTACTGTGTGAACTGGGCAGGTTGCTTGGCTTGAGACTCAGTTTCCTCATCTCACAGGGAGTTGTGAGGAAGTGATGAGACCACGTCTAGGCAGGCCTTAGTAAACCATGATGGACTGTACCACATGCAGGCAAGCAAGGGGGTCCAGAAGGGACAGGGAGAATAGGGGAGGATCCTGCTGGGCCCCAGCCCTGCCATGGGCCCCTCAGGTGACCAGCAGTGGCAGCAGGTTCTGGGTGAGGGGCAGGCAGGAGGGGCAGCAGGCTGAGCTTCTTCCCCCTCCTCACCCCAGGTAGGGTCACCCTATCCAATGTATCTGAGCGGAAGGACAACATGCGCCTTGGCCTGAGCCTTGCCACCAACCCCAAGGACAACAGCTTCCTGGTAAGAACCACCTGCCGCTACTTGGGGCCAGGAGAGGTGGGGGAAGGGGCGTGAATGTCTCTTCACACCCACACTCCTCTGCTCTATCCACCAGGCTGCCAGTCCCTAGGCACTCCAGGAAGCAGCCCCTCTACCAGCTCTCTGCTACAACCATCCTTCCATCCATTATCCATCCTTCCATCCATCCCTTCCTGTATCCATCCATCATCCACCCACCCATCCATCACCCACCCACTCATCCATCCATCTATTATCCTTCCATCCTTTCATAATCCATCTATCCATTCATCCATTGTCCACCCACTCATCCATCTATCCATCATCCATCCATCTATCCACTCATTCATCTGTCATCCATCCATCCATCCACCCATCCATTCATCCATCCATATATCATCCATCCATCTGTCCATTCGTCCATCATCCACCCATCCATCCATCCATCCACCCATCCATCATCCGTCCATCCATCCATCCATCATTCATCTATCCATTCTTTATTCTTCTCCTACTTCCAACAATAATTTACAGCAGCTTCAACAAAGGACACAGATAAAATATAACCTTTAAGATCCAGGTTAAAAAAGAAAGCTGATTAAAGAAAGGAATTAGGAGTAGAATAGTTACTCTCCTAAACCAAAGGAAATTATAGCACAAAATTTAGCCCTGAGTTTCCTGACAACAGGACAACAATGGAGCGATGGAGCCGGACTTTCATTTTTGATGACCCTGACTCCGAGAGGAACTCATCACTCAGTCCTTCAGTAAGGGGCTGACATCAATGTTCTGGTAGCAGATTTCACAGAAAGAGCAGACATTCTTTTTTCTTCCCCTAGTAAGAACCACAGCATGTTGTTGGGACCCTGGAAGTTTGCTTAGTAAGGACCTTCAGGTGATCTCATCAAACAGAAAAACTATTCTAGTGACCCTTAAAAGGTCCAGTCCCGTGGCTGAAAAGGCTTTCCCAGATCCTGTGCATGGTGGGTGGGGTGGGCGGGTAGGGTGAAGAAGAGTCACACCTGGAAAGATAGGATGGAGAACGGGCCCTGGAAAGAACAACAAAGCAGGACTCCAAGATTAGTTTTCCTCTATTACACCTGAAATGAAGAGAACTAGTGCACATTGCAGCAAGAGAGAGCTCAGTTAGACTCAAAGAAGGCCCTCTAACTCCTGGGGGACTCAAGCCACTGAAGCTGGATGCTCTCTGAAGCCCCCCCTCCCCACTGACTGGGGGTCTGCATTGTGCTCCACAGGCTTGCAGCCCGCTCTGGTCTCACGAGTGTGGGAGCTCCTACTACACCACAGGGATGTGTTCGAGAGTCAACTCCAACTTCAGGTTCTCCAAGACCGTGGCCCCAGCTCTGCAAAGTAAGTGGCTTTAAATCTGCAGACTCGGGCTGAGTGGTAGACAGTCCAGGGAGGCCTGGGGCTCTGACCACTGCTACCCTATGCTACAAAGCAACATTTGGACTCTAGCCCCGCTCTGCCTCTGCTCTCTGGATGACCTGAAATGAGTCACTTAATTTCTCTGAGCCTCTGAGAGGATCATAATCCTGGCCTACCCTTTCCCACAGTGTGATGGCAAGGATCAAAGGAGCTAAGATTGTGAAGACAATCCTGGCATTGAGAGAGGTTCACCGCAAAAACTCTGAGCGTGGAAGAGGTAGTCGGGCTACCATGTACAGCAGGCATGCTGTGCACTGCACAATTCTGAGGGTATTGTTCACTTAGACTACAGTGTAAATGGTGTTCCCTTATGTTGTGCAATGCCATAGCCCTGTAGGTGGAGGGCCAAAGAGAACAGAAATCTCCTTGGTAATAGTTCCACCAAGCCAGTGCTCCTGGGCCTCAGGGAGTCCTGCCCAGCTTGCCAGAGCCTCTTTGAACACAAACCCCGCCCCTCATTCCCCACTCACCCAGAAAACCTGGGGAATCAATGCTCAGAACTTGCCCCCCTCAATCCCAGACTTCTTGGCTCTGAGCCTCACTATTTCCTCTGGGCTAAATATCATCACCCAAGCAGCTGCTGCCCATTTTATGGAGGGTGAGGGGATTAACACCTCTGGCTTGCCAGCAGCCTCCCTCCAAACAGCAGGCCCAGTCAGAGGTGGAAAGATGGTGCTTGGGGGAGGAGGAGGAGGAAGCCTGACTCCAGCAGGGTCTGGAAAGTGGTCCTCTTAGGGGGATGAGGAGGCATGGATTCTATTCACACAAAACGGCAGAGGGAAAGGCAGCCCAGGTCACAGGGGAGACCTGAGGTCACAGCATGTGGGACTTACGCTGGAGAACATCACCACCCCTGGAGCGAAGATGTGACCATCATAGCCTCCCTGAATCTCCTATTGCAGAGGCCTCCTCACTGCTGACCAGCATGCAGATTCCAGGGCACCTTCATGTGGGACCTAATTCAGTAGATCTGGGATAGGCCCCAGGAGTGAGTGTGTGTGTGTCTGTGTTCCCCAAGGCACTGTTCAGCCATGTATAAGAAGCATAGATCTAAAGCCAGCTTCTTCCCAAGCAGGCTCAAAAAGAAAATTTTTAGTTTTCTGCATTGATTTTTTTCTTTATTTGATGTTTATTTTTTCTTTTAATTTGATATTAATATTATGAGAATATGAAGAAAGCTTTATGTTCAGAAGCAGAGAGTTTGATCTGATAATGTCATTGACACGTTAACTCAGTGGTTTGCTTAAAAAAAATAAAAATAGGATCAGCTAAGATTTATTGAGCACTTTCTTTATGCTCGGCCCTTAAGAAGCATCTTCTTGCTAATTCCTCATGACAACTCTCTGCTGTTGTTATGCCTCCTTTATAGAAGAGAAAGGTGAGGCTGAGAGATTAAGTGACTGGCCCCTGGTCACACAGCCAGTGAGGGCAAAGCCAGGAGTCAAACAGTCCAGTGCCAGATTCCACATTCCTAGTCATTACACCACACCTCCCTCCTGAACAGGGAAAGCCATTCATTTGGGCTGCACGTGATAAATGCCAGCCTGACCACTTCATAAGAGAAGTGATAATGAGGCACTAATTTGGGCAGTGCTGGCTGCCTCAGAAGCATTGACCACTTGGCAGTGGTCAGTGCATGTAGGAGTAGAGGTGGTCAGGCTTAATTTAAGCTTTGTTCAAACAGCCAGCAGAGTGGTGGGACAGAGCCAGGAATTCCTGGGCTTGTCATTCACAATTGCCCAAATCAATGTCCAGCCCAAGGATGGTTCCCCAGCCCAGGGAGTCACACACATGTAGCAGTCATTCTCTTACCATCTTTTGAGCAATCATCTGGAGAATCAGAGACTTGCAGACACTGGCTCCTTGGCTAGCCATGGCCATGTTCCCACTTCCCAGGGTGCCAGACCTACATGGATATTGTCATTGTTCTGGACGGCTCCAACAGCATCTACCCCTGGGTGGAGGTTCAGCACTTCCTCATCAACATCCTGAAGAAGTTTTACATTGGCCCAGGACAGATCCAGGTGAGTGTCTCTGGGGCTCTTTCCTCCTTTGAACAGAGCCCCCCAAACCCATAGCAGATGCTGCCTTTGAGTGTGGGGGAGCAACTTGGGATGTGGTAAGGTGGTGCAGGGGAAAGGGTGGGGGCCAGTGAGGCCAGCCAGCACCAGGGCCCTGCAGCCCAGGACATCATCTCTGGTGGACACATCAAAGGACAGTTTGGGGGCCAAACACTGTCTTCTGGGATAGACACCACCTATTAAGACTTGAACGAGCTAGAGAGTGAGAGGAAGGCAAGAAAGGTTGAGTAGACACCAGAACCCCATTGAGCGAGGCATAGGAGAGGATTGGGATATTGATTTTGGAGAGAAGACGACAGGGAAGCAGGTGAGAGCTGCCAGCTTGTATTTGATACCCTGCCTGGCTAAAGACACAGTAGATTTATTGCTTAGTATTTTGGCTGAATGAGGACCAATGAATAGAATGAACTTACAAGGTGGCAGATTTCAAGACAACCTAAGAAATTATTTGTAACAATCACAGCTGTAAGAAGGGGAGCAGACTTTCTCATGAAGTAATGATTTCCCCACAACTGGAAGATCATCTTCTAGGGTATCGTGAGTGAAAGTCCAGAGTTAGAAGGGCACTTGTGCCCAACAAACTGGGAGACCACCCAACAGTAACGTTTCATCGTTCTATTCCTCCTATAGGTCTTCAGGGTTTTTTGTTCATTTTGGAGCTATTAATATTGTTGATATTTTATCAGTCTTGGGGATAAAAGAATCTGTTCTCTTCTAAGCTTTAAGATAACTTAGTTTAAGAGTTTGGTTCGGGGCCGGCCCGGTGGTGCACTGCTACAGTGCGCTGCTTGGGAGCGCGGCGGCGCTCCCGCCAGAGGGTTCGGATCCCACATACAGACCGGTTCCCGCTCACTGGCTGAGCGAGGTGCGGGAGCAACACCGAGGGTTGCGATCCCGTTGCCGGTCCCGGTCCGGTACGGGGACAACACTGAGGGTTGCAGTCCGTTGCCGGACACGAAAAAAGACAAAAAAAAAAGAGTTTGGTGGCCTTCCATCACACTGTTCCTAATATTTTAGACTTTCATTCTATTCTCAACTTTGGTCTTTCTAAGAAAGAAATGTAATCTGTTGGGCCTTTCTTTAAATCACAAAGTCTCCTTTCTCTATATGCAGCCCCACTTGTCCCACCAAACCATCCATTCATTCCTGGAACCTTGCAGAACCCGCTTCCCTTCGGCAGGAGTTACTTTCTTGGGAAGGTCCTCAGCCCTCCTGACTGCTGAATCATCATGGACAGAGAGACAGCTCCCAGGGCTCCTTCCCACCGAAGGTCTAAGTTTCAGGGGGTCAAGTTGTTCTGTCACCCTTCTCCTCTGGCCTGCAGGTTGGAGTTGTTCAGTATGGAGAAGATGTGGTACATGAGTTTCACCTCAATGACTACAGGTCTGTAAAAGATGTGGTGGAAGCTGCCAGCCACATTGAGCAGAGAGGAGGAACAGAGACCCGGACAGCATTTGGCATCGAATTTGCTCGGTAAAAAAAAAAAAATTTAGATCTCAGATACTGTTTTAGTTACCTACTGCTGTGTAACAAACTACCACAAAATTTACTACCTTGAAGCAATATTTTCTTAGTTTCTCAAAGTTTTGGGGGTTGAATGGGCTCAGCCGGTTGGTCCTGTCTTGGGTTCTCTCACATGGTTGAAGTCCGGTGTCAGCCAGGGCTGTTGTCGTCTGAAGGTTCCACTGGGCTGGAGATCTAAGATGGCATGCTCATGCAGCTAGCTATGGCTGCTGCTGTTCTCCGGGAGCTCAGCTGGGGCTGGCGACCTGAGCACCTACACATGGCCACATGACTTGGTTTTCTCACGGCATGGCAACTGGGTTCTGAGAGGGAGTATCCGAGGAGCAAGCTCACCAAGAGACCCAGGTAGGAACTGGGAGACTGCCTAGCACCTAGCCTCAGAGTCCCAGAATATGACTTCTACCTATTGGTCGAGGAAGTTACTGCTAAAACCAGCCCAGACTCAAAGGGAAGAGGATTTGATTCTGCCTCACGGTGGAGGAGCAGCAAGGTCACACTGAAGGAGAGCATTTGGGAAGGGGGTATTGTTGCAACCAACTTTGGAAAATATATCCTGCCCCAGATATCCTATAACAAGTATGTTGGTTCTATGAGAGCAGAATCTTCCTGTGGAGTGTGTATCATCAATGCAGAAGGAAGAACGTAATTAAATCTATCTGAGGTTGTAGAGTAATGAGGCTGGTTCCTTAAAAATCACACCAGAGCCCACTCATCCAGGTGAATGTTATCCCTAGGTGTCCACACAGAAGGCCACATACTTATTTCAATGTCGCTGCCATTGCTCAAAACATTGTGCTCACCTCCACTGAAATTATCCAACTTTCAGGCAATTCCTCAAGATCACTTGAGCCAAGGCCTTAACTCCTAAAATTTCTGTCAAAGGCAATTAGATTTTCAATGTCTAAATTTTACTCCGCGATTCTGAGTTCTGCTACATGCACTGAGACCGCAGTCCCCCTGCCTTATAATCCCACCTCATGTAGGGTTAGTCGATGTGTTTAACAGAATTCCACAGTGTGAGAGCTATTTAGTAGTATCATGATTTCATGTGGTCAGAAGATTAAGATTTTTGCAACCTCACAACTCTTTGTGGTTAAGTCACTGCTCAACTAGCATATTTCCGTTTGCTGATAAAACTGCTCAAGCTTTTCCTAAATGAGCGTTCCTCCCCGAGAAGATGGCCCCCTTACTCACCCTCATGAGGAACGAGCCATTTTGCTGTTTCACCATCACCGGGGTGAGACCTGAGACTCCCAGCATGCCCTTGTGGAATGGCTGGGGCAAGGGAGGACGCCCATGACCAGCAGCTAGCCCTTTCTCAGTGGGAAGCTCACTGACTCATGCGGGGCCGCAGCCCACCAACCTCAGGTCAATTACACGCATCTGACTCATGAGCACCGCTGGGGTTGCAGTCTTCGCCTCATGAGAAGTTTGAAATTCTGATCTTCCTAGCTGACCAAGTTCAGGTCCCAAATCACCACTGGTGCTTTTAAGGTGAAAGGTTTTCTCTCCTCAGTTATTCATACCACGCTTTTTTTTTCTGTGCACCTGCTAAGGGGCAAAGATGCAGACCATTGACCTGAGGGGTTACAAAGATGGTCACCTGTGGTCACTAGCCTTGGTGGCTCACAGCCCCATAGGGGAGCTCTGACCAGTGTTAACCCTAACCCTAATTCAGTGAGGATGGGAGCAGGACAGGCCCCCAGGGAGGGGCGGGGAGGACTGCTGGGAGAGGCGGCATTTGACCTGTCCTAGGAAGACCCCTGAGATTCCAGCAAGGAGAGGTGGAGAGAAGACAATCCACAGAAGACAGTCTGCCCTGATGAGGGCAGAGGAGAGGGAAAGTCAAGGAACATTTATGTACAGAGCTGCTCTCCTTTTGACCACACACGGGGTTTGTGTTGGGGAGTAGAGAGCCACGCAGCTGCAGAGACAGCCAGAGTGTGAAGGTGATGATGTTGGAGCTAAAACTAGCATGAGTGGCCCTGCAGGTTCTGGAGTGCGAGAGTGTCATCAGATGCGCATGGTAAGAAGTGAGCCTGGCAGCCATGTGTGGCTGGGAAAGGGGAGGGCCCCTGAACCATGTGGAGTGATTCCGCCTTTGTTCAGCACTTTTTATTGAGCACCTACTATGTGCCTCACACTGTTTTAGGCACTAGGGATAGATCAGTGAACAAAAAAAAGCCCTGCCCCTGTAGAGCCGGCATTCTAGAGAGAAAAACAGACAATAAAGAAACAGATGAATGAGTTGGTAAACTAAACCGAGATAGAAGCTCTGGGGGAAAGGTCACCAAGCAGGTTGAAGAGGACAGGTATTGAATCAGCATCAACAGGGTGGTCAGGAGAGAAGTGACCTTTAAGTGGAAACTTGCAGGAGGTGAGGGCGTTGACCATGAAGATAGCTGGTGGGGAGCGTTCCAGGCTGAGGGAGCAGCTCAGACAACAGCTCAGAATGTGCCTGGTGTCTTCCCAGATCAGCAGAGTCCAGTGCAGGAGGGAGGGATGACCAGAATGAGGGGCTAGGGAGGTAAGGGGGCCAGGTCACATAGGGCCTCATGGACCTGTGTCAGGACCTGGGAGAAGTGGGAATCAGAGCAACTTTTGAGCAGGAAGGAGACATGAGGTGGCCTGAATTTCCACGGGTCACTCTGGCTTCTAGGTTCCTGGAAACTAATGTGAGTATAAAGCTCTCGCTACTCTCAAGGCATTTATAATCTAATTTATAAAAGAACAAATCCAAGTCCCTTTATCCCAAAATCACAACTTAAAATCTGATGATTCATGCTGACATTCACACGATTACAGATTTATATAGATATTCACACTGTTCCACTACATGGAAATGTGATTCTGAAATTTTTCTTGGCTCCATATAATAAAACCTGTTTTTCCCCTACCATACTTTTTTGCTTGAAGTTTTATTCCTGATCCCAGACCCTCAGTGAGCTCATGGAAGCATCTAGACTTCTTTTTGAGAGAATAGCGGAATTCTCCCTCCTCTGGCTCTGCCTTAAGCTCAGAATCTTCTCTGATCATGTCAAGTGTGCCTCTGCAGCCCTTCCTTCATGGCTCATACTAAAATTAGAGAATTTTTTTTTAAGTCAACATACCAGAATATGTTAGAGCTGCTAAGAGAGCGGCAGATGGTTTTCTCTCTTTGCTGGTAGCCTAAAGGTGTTGTGAGCTGATTGATTCCAGGTTTTGTGACTTCCTCAACATCTAAATCACACACATCAGCTCATCAGCTTGCCATGTCACGAGAGATACCTCTGGTAATCAAAGCCTTGTGTCCCTTTACCCTGTCACTATAGAGCTTAAATCTGTGGGCTGTCCTACCTTACCATGGGTCAGATCCATGAGGAATCACGCACAGTCTAAGAGTAACATTGACCTTTAGATCCTCACTGGAAAAGGCTACCTGCTGGGCTAGACTCTCGGAGGAGACCATGTCTGTACTTCTCAGAACCTCATGGTCTAAAGGACCATGGGTCAGATCCATGAGGAATCACGCACAGTCTAAGAGTAACATTGACCTTTAGATCCTTACTGGAAAAGTCTACCTGCTGGGCTAGACTCCTGGAGGAGACCATGTCTGTACTTCTCAGAACCTCATGGTCTAAAGGCGGGCTGGCCACAGAGGCACCAAGGCTGGTGGTGATTCAGGAGCCAGTTTCCCATGCTTTGGATACAACTGCCAGCTGCACGAGCCTCTCTGGCGTGTGGAGGGTGACTGTGCCAGCCCTGCTGTCCCCTGGGCTGACTGCCCAACAGGTGGGCCAAGCTCATGCTCCAGGTACTACAAACAAAATAAAAAGGGAGAAAGAGAAATATTTTCCATGGAATGTGACATTTAATATGTCCTAAAATAGAATCAAAGTAGTTGTCCTGGGAGAAGTCAGAACGTTGTCAGGCTTTGTCACACGTAGTTTGTGGGTTAGTATAGTCTGAATGTTGAACGACCCTAGCACGATACCTTCTCAGTACTCAGGAAAGTGGTTCTCAACTCTGGGTATTCATCAGAACTTTTTAAAAATTCTGATGCCCAGGCCACGCTCCAGAGATTCTGATTTCACGGGTCTGGGTGTGGCCTAGGCATCAATATATTTTTAAAACTACCCCGACCCCACCAAGAGATTCTAATGTGCAGCTGAGTTTTTAAACCACTAACTTAGCTGCTGTAAAGGTCATCATATGCCTTGAACTCCCCTCCCAGATTCATCCCATCCCCTCCGCCTGCCCCAAACAGCAAGGTCAGGACCCCAAAGGTGCTTTTTAAAGACAAGCAGATGCAAGACCCATCTGAGCAGGGTGGCCTGGGCATCTCAACCAGCTACTTCTTTGGTACAAGGTCCCAGCACCTACTGGGTTTCCCGAGGGGAACATGGTCCTGGTCTCTGCCCCTCTGGAGGAGTGTCAGGTGCCACCCCATTCCTACTTCCCTCTGTGACCTTGCCGCTATGTTCGGGTTCCAGCTCAGAGGCTTTCCAGAAGGGCGGAAGGAAAGGGGCCAAGAAGGTGATGATTGTCATCACAGATGGGGAGTCCCACGACAGCCCAGACCTGGAGAAGGTGATCCAGCAAAGCGAAAGGGACAACGTAACCAGATACGCCGTGGCTGTAAGTCACTGTCCCCACCCAAGGGCTACAGGCTACTCTTAGAGGCTTTGCTGCCAATCCCCTGAGGACTCCAAGAGGGTGTTTTCGGGGCAGTGTAACAAGTGTCCAGACCCCCAGATGGGCCTTTCGTTTCATCCTCTTCTACAGAACAAGTTGAGGATCTTCTTTCTGCACTGCCCAGGCCTATCCACAAAAGTTGTGGGTTTGTTTTTCTGAAACCTCAGAAAACTAGAAAACACTCCAAGCCTCCCAACTCCCAGAACCCTGGCTTAGCAAAGGAGTCTTATCTTGCCCCTAAAAGAGAGTGTGTTTCAAAATGCAAGTGGCACCTTGAGGAATGCTCATGGCTACCAAACACTCATGGCTCCAGTCCACCCTGGGGCCCCCCAGGGTCGGGGGCTTTGGGGCGTGTGGGGAAATCTGTGCTATGTCCTGGCTTGTCGCCCCTGCCCCTGTTCCCTGGCAGGTCCTGGGCTACTACAACCGCAGGGGGATCAATCCAGAAACTTTTCTAAATGAAATCAAATACATCGCCAGCGACCCTGATGACAAGCATTTCTTCAATGTCACTGATGAGGCAGCCCTGAAGGACATCGTTGATGCCCTGGGGGACAGGATCTTCAGCCTGGAAGGTGAGCAGTGCATGCCTAGGGGGGTTGTGCTCTCCTGGGCTTCCATCAGGTAAACCCCACAGAGTGAAATCCAGTCGTACTAAATGGAATGGCTTAGCAAGAGGCCTCCTTGAATAATACATGCCAACAATTGGGTGTTACTCCCTGCCGGATGTGAGGCCGCACACTTTATGAACAACCCCGGAAGTTGGTCTTGCTGATATTCTCCTCATTCTACCAATAAGGAAACTGAGGCTCAAAGGAGTTAAGGGCCTGCCAGAGCTCCCGCAGCTTGAGAACTCATGGTGGGGTTTGAACTGGGTTGTCAGGTTTGGCAAATATAAAGTATAATGTCTGTGGCAGACTTACGCTAAAAATGTATTCAATGTTTGTCTGAAATTCATATTTAACTGGGTGTCCTGTATTTTATCTGGCAACCCAAGTTGGAACCCAGCTGGGCCGACTCTGTATCATGACACCCTTGACCCCCATGTGCCACTGCCCACGCTCCACCAAAAGCGTTTTTTACAAGCTTCCTTCAGATTGCCTCTTTCCTTGTGATTAAACTCCATTTTTTATTTGTACTGGTCTTATTTGCACCATGTATTGCTATAGCGGGGCCTTCCAATACGGGGCTATGGGCGTATGGGAGGATTATAAAAATGAATAGAAGGCAGTGTCCCAAAGCCTGCAAAGTCCGCAGTGCACTGGAAATGACAAGCTACAGGCACATGGAAAGAGACGAAAACGGACCTCATAAACAAGGAGAGATGAGGGCAAGGAGTGAACGGAGCGTCAACACATTCCACGCCAGAGCTTAAATGTCCGCATCAGTGTGTGTTTCTCCTCCCAATGCTCCCCTTGGGTGATGACAATGTCAGTTCCAATGACACGTTTGGGGCCCCTCTGTGGGGAGGGGCACTCAGCACACATGGGAGTTCTTGTGCAAATGCGCAGTGGTGACAAGTCTCCCTCCTGAGGGTTGATGTGATGTTTAGGAGCCGTCCAAAAGCATCTGGAACCAAATCTGGTGAAAAATAGGAGTGAGCAAAGTGGGAATTCCATTTCTTGCCAAAAATGTAATTATTTTCATGCACTTTTTCATGATTTGCCCCTATTTCAACAGTCTTATAATACACATGTCCTGTAACATAACTTGTCCCCAGACATTTTCAGAAGTGAGTGGACTACTACTAATAAACCCACATGACCACCTGCAGGTGCTTGGCGCACCTCACTGTGCAGGTGCTGATGGGGCAGATGAGGCTGCCAGCGTGACTCGCCTCAGCCTCAGGGCCCCTCTTGCAAGAGAAGCCTCTTCCCTAAGATGCCCCCCTGGGAAACGGGAGCGGCGGATCGAGCTGCTGGTGTTTCGTGCTAAGCAATCAGGCAGGGAGCCATCTGTCTGTCCTTCTGTTTTAGGCACCAACAAGAACGAAACCTCCTTCGGGCTGGAGATGTCGCAGACAGGCTTTTCCTCGCACGTGGTGGAGGTACGGGTCAGCGCCACCTCCCATGGTCCCTCCCGTGCATCCTCTCACCCTTCCCAGCTCTCTATATGTGTCATCCCACTTTTCATGAGCTGTCTCATCCTCTCTTGCTCTCTGTCTTGGAGTCTCTCTGCCTCCCATCTGTGCGCTGGAAGAGGGAAGTCAAGATCTTCAGCTTATTTATATTGTCTCAAGCCCTTTTCAGAATGAATGGACACCGATAATACACTCACATCCCCACCTGGAAGGTGGTTGGTGCACCTCACTATGCAGGGTGCTGATGGAGGCATCTTCCTCCCAAGACCAAAGACCCCATGCAGTCCACAGAGCCTTGTGCAAACACAAGGCCAGATGGCAAAACCAGCTGCACTCTGATCGTGCTGTGCCCGAGGCGGCCTATGTGTGCAGCATCACCAGGGACACATCCCTGTGTCGATGTTGAGAGGGTGTCCAGATGTTCCAGCTGTGCTCCAGCTGGCAGCCTGTGTGGGCTCCCTCTCTGTGTGGACTCTGCTTCAGATTGCAGAGGTCCCAAGTGGGTCCAGCCCACTGAGGGAAGAGGCACTTGGTGTCACAGCAGTTCATGGTGTCTAGGGCTCTGTGACTCGGGCCCAGAAACTCAGGCCGACATTCGCCCTCTATGCACTTCACCTAGTGTTGGTTTGAAAGGTGGGTCTGAAACTTCACAGGATGGCCAGAGGGACAGAAGCGTCGGTGTCTGTGAAAACACTTTATAAAGTGTAAAGTCCTGCCTGGGACTACCACATGGGGAGACGTACCAACTATATGTGTCGGTATCAGTAGGTGCTCCGGTGGGTGTGTTTTGGACAGACAGGTGTCCAGGTGTGTGTGTGTGTGTGTGTGTGTGTGTGTGTGTGTGTGTGTGTGTGTGTGTGTGTGTGTGTGTGTGTGTGTGTGTGTGTGTGTGTGTGTGTGTGTGTTCTGCCAGGCTGACTCCATGGGAGTGCACTTATGCCTCCTAATTTGCCAGAAAAGGCCCATTAGTCCATCCTACTTATATGTCATTTTCTCATCCCACTGAATTCTCCTACTCTTGTGTCAGGTGAGCAGAGCAGGATTTCTTGGTCCCAATTTACTGATAACGAAATCAGCACAGGAAGGTTAACTGACCTGCTAAAGTAAAATTAGTCAGAAAAATATTAGCAGCTGCTCCGTGAGAGAGCAGGGAATCTCAGGGGGGCTGAGTCAGAAATCCCAAATTGGAGGGGAGCGGGGCACATTCACCACATGCAGCGGGCAGATGGACAGAAGCACAACTCACGCTCAGGTTTTCCTGAGCTGCATCTGGACAATCTCGTGCCCATTGTCTTGAATACAGCAAGATGTGAATGCAACTGCCCTGTCATGGTAACAGCCCTGTTACATGTGCACAGCACTTTAAACTCTTCCAGGAAGTCCCTGCACCTCATTTCATGCTCAGAACAGTCCCGCAAAGTCAGCAGGTGGTAAAAGCTATCACTTTTTAGATGGTTGGATCAGCCAGTCTTTTCAGTGCCCTCTCTGTGCTGGTCCCTTTGCTGGACATCAGGTGAAGGAGGGGTAAGAGCCCTGCCCTACAGGAGCTCACAGTCCAGGGGTAAAGAGCTGGCATGGAGAGGCGACAGCATCCATTCGCACGAGGGCAGGCAGTGCCTCTCATGCTCTGTAGCAGCTGCTCCGTGAGAGAGCAGGGAATCTCAGGGGGGCTGAGTCAGAAATCCCAAATTGGAGGGGAGCGGGGCACATTCACCACATGCAGCGGGCAGATGGACAGAAGCACAACTCACGCTCAGGTTTTCCTGAGCTGCATCTGGACAATCTCGTGCCCATTGTCTTGAATACAGCAAGATGTGAATGCAACTGCCCTGTCATGGTAACAGCCCTGTTACATGTGCACAGCACTTTAAACTCTTCCAGGAAGTCCCTGCACCTCATTTCATGCTCAGAACAGTCCCGCAAAGTCAGCAGGTGGTAAAAGCTATCACTTTTTAGATGGTTGGATCAGCCAGTCTTTTCAGTGCCCTCTCTGTGCTGGTCCCTTTGCTGGACATCAGGTGAAGGAGGGGTAAGAGCCCTGCCCTACAGGAGCTCACAGTCCAGGGGTAAAGAGCTGGCATGGAGAGGCGACAGCATCCATTCGCACGAGGGCAGGCAGTGCCTCTCATGCTCTGGCTCAACTAGCCCTGGTCTCCTGGCTCTGGGGTCAGGGCTGATTAGAAAATGCAACAAAGAAATGCAATGTAATTAAATCCAACAAGCATTTGTCAAATGCACTAAAGTATCAAAACAAACCAGAAATGATTCCTGCCTCCAGGAGTCAACTTGCAAACAATCCAGAACAGCAGCCCTTACTTTGAGAGCAGGATGAAGGGAACTATAGATGTCTCCTAGGTAAAAATGTACAACTTCAGGAGGCCCCATCCATGGAGCCCCTGTGGAGACCCCTGCTCAGAGGGAGAGCCAGACACGTACACATCTAATACCAACCAAGGCATGACTAGGGTCTTACAGAAGGAAAGGCCTCAGCTAGGGGAGGGTGCAGTCAGGGAAGGATGCGGGGAGGTGTTGGCACTTGAGCGGGCTCCTGAAGGACAAGGATTTCAGCAGCTATGGCTGGCAGCAAGCAAGAGAGCAGACAGAGTTGTGTGCACAAGACTGGGAGAAATCTGGGCACAGACCAGAGGCCAGCCCCTATGCTGGGGACAGTAAGAGAGAATGAATGTCCCAATGTCTTCTTTGTTCATTCTCCAAGTTTCTTTTGAGCATCTTCCTGTGTGTCAGGCTCTGTACCAGGCACTGGGGATAGAGATTAAGGTAACATTTCAGCTGTCAGCAGTCCACAACCCAGTTGGAGAGAAAGACTCTTAAAATAATAGTTTATCTACTGCTTCTAATACTGTGCTGTGTGTATGTCCAGGAATCGAGAAATCTAAGAGAAAGGGAGGTTAAAATGGGCTTTACAGATTCAGGGAAGCAAGAGCTAAGCCCTGAAAATGGCCCAAGCAGCTCAAGCAGCTCCATGTGTCAAGGAAGATGAGTTCGTGCAGGACCAGCAGGGTCCCCAGGTGCATGGGGGCCAGGGCAGGGGAGGCAGGCAGGGAGACCCAGGAGCTCAGAGCCCCAGCTTGTTACTTAGGTCAAGTCAAGGTCATGACTGCCCTTGTGCACCTTCTGCATGTGCTCAGCAATTTTTCTGATATCCCAATCAGAGAGACCCAGGTTGCATCTCCCCATACACCCCAGCTCTTCTGTCACCCCTGAAGTTTTCATCCAATAGGACTGTTAAAGAGACAACAATTGCACGTGAATCTGAGACTTTGTAGTCTTTTTTAAGAAAAGAAAAAAAAAAACTTCCAAATCCAAAGGAGTGGTGTAGTGATGGTGGGCTGTCTGGTTCTGTGACTGGCCATTGAGTTGGGTTTCTATTTTAGAGCCCAGAGGTCTTTCAGTGCCAGGCTGCTGGTGCCATCATAATTGGCCACAGCCATCCTGTCATCCTCAGCTCTCAGGGTGAGTCAGGCCTCTCTGGGGACTGAGAGCAGCTTTGTCCTGAGCAGGTCCTGAGCCAGAGTGAGTCCATCCCCAGGCAAGCCCCTGGGCTCCCTCTCCACCAAAAGTGCGCCACAGATGGCCTCAAACAGCTGCTGGTAAGAATCTGCTGCCTGAGAATCTGCTGAAGGAGACCACAGCTCCCCTGGGCCTGTTTATTTCTGTTAGAGGGAAAGTTCCTTTGCCCTGGGCAAGCCAGTAGAATGTTCTCAGATGGCAGAAGAAAGATCCAGCTCCTCATTGCCTGGTTTGCTGCCATCTTGTGTAGCAAGGAATCCAGCCTTTGAGTTAGCAAGGGTAAAAACAACAAGAGAAAGGAGGGACCAGAACCCAGGGTAGAGAGGAGACCCCAAGATATAAACTGACCACGCACAGAGTCCAAGGCTCCAGGCCACAAGGCACTACATCCCAGGCTGATGGCGGAAGGTCGGAACCATTGGGAAAACCTGGGGAAACTCTAGTCCTGATTTACAGAAAGGGGAAAGAGAATACTCCAAAAATTACCATCAGGAAGGCTAGCTATGAATTCCTGGTCAAACTTTAGATGGGATTTTTAGGCCAATGGCTCCATTAGCATTTGGAAATGAATGCGAAGTTCGCTACGAGCTGCAGTGGCTCTACCAGT